GGCGCACACCGCGTGGTCGCTACCCATGAGGATAACAGAGTTGAGAAAAACGCAGGTAGTGGCAGAAAGATGCGACGTGCCGGGGTGGACGGTCACGCCGAGGACCAAGTGAGAAGGTTCAAGCTGAGCACGGAGCCACTACTACGATGGGTAACTCAAGAGTACGTCTCAGGGCAGCGCGAGCTGGAGGAGCGGGCAGAGGACAGGCGGGAAACGACCGACAGCGGCATGAGGACAGAAGCCAGCTGGGATGAGTTCTTAGGGATGATCGCCCGCCGAACTTTTTAATTAAATACAGAGAGAGTTAGCAACCTAGCGATGCAAGTTAGCAGAATCGACACCGAGGGATGACGCAGGCAGCACCACGTCAGCAGCGGACCAGTTCGGCACAACAACCACCCATTGTAGTTGTCGTGTCCCTAGTCTTACTGCCTCAGTCCTCTTTTTGACTTGGATAGGATAGCGAAGAATGACTGCCTTGGTTTTACAGAGAAGGAAGGAAGCTTTGTTGGAATTTCAATCAATAAAAAGGAATGCGCGCGCGTGTTTGCGCGCGCGTGTTTGTATCGCACACATCTGGCTTATTTCTTGCTGCTGTAGTATTCCTTAACCCGAGGGTCCCCTACGACTGCTTCATAGGTTTTATAAATTCTCTTGTATTGTGTAGCATCAATATCCGGGCATCGATCCACAATCATTTTGACAAAAGAGTAGATTGCCAAATCCACGTAAGTCATGCCCTTGCCGTCCACCCAGCCTTCGCTTGACTGTCTGCTACCAATCACTTTGTCCGCAGCGGCTAGGCGCTCACGTGCGTTCTTCAGATTCTCCTCTTTGTCTCCCCTGTTGTACACGATGCTAGTGACGTCCCGGTGGGCATCAGACATAACACTATAGGCTTGTTCGCACACCGCCAGCTGCGTGAAGTCAGTAGGAACCATTCCCGACTTGGAGGCAGCGTACATCAGAATGGCCCTGCTTTCAGTCAGATAGCTCCCGTCATTAAACTGCAGCCAAGGCGCTTTACCACTCGGCGCTTGGGACTTGTACTCCTCAGCCCACTGCTCGGGCTTGAATCGGACATCCTCGAAGGGAATGCCCCCCAAGTAAAACGCGAGGCGAGTAGGCTCCGCCAATCCGGGTATGTCGAAATAGTAAAGCGTAGGACTAGACATTCAACAAACTTCACGACCTAATATTCTCAGAAAACAACACGTCATGTCCAGAGACAGCTCGAATCCACTCGTCTTTTAGAATTGTTGTGTCGAACGTCCGCTGCTGACGTGGTGCTGTCTGCGTCATACGAGGAGCCCTCGGTGTCGATTCTGCTAACTTGCATCGCTAGGTTGCTAACTCTCTCTGTATTTTAATAAAAAGCTTCGGCGGGCGAGACATAACAACTGAAAGCCGACCTTGCCCACTGACACACCAAGAATGCCTCACTTTGACCCGGTGTGTGCTGTGAGCGAACACCCCCACATCATCCCTTATGTTCACCAACTGCTGGGCACCAGTCATGTCTGGTTTCTCTACGGCACTTTCCCCTATGTGCTGAATTTACGTTCGAGATGGTCATAGCCTGTCGGGATCGCTCTGTGGTATACACGTCATCGCAGCCGCCATACTTTCACACACCAGTCACGTATCGGTCACACCATGCGGCTTCGCTCTTGTCGTCGCTTCGCTCTTGTCGTCGCTTCGCTCTTGTCGTCGGCGTCTGTGGTTCAGACTGTGTGGTTCACATAGTGGGTACGTGTCGCTCGAAGATAGGATTGCGGTGGAAGACACGTTGGGAACCAGCGTCTCTACGGAATTTGTGGAGGAAGGCGGTGGTGACTCGGAAGGCTTGTTCTGGTTCTTTACAGCGCAGACAGACTGGGTTGAGCAGGACGTGAAGCTCCCCTTTTCGGACAGCGAGGAAAACTTGGTCGTAGGATCCAACACAGATTCCTCGGCCTACCGTTTCCGTTGCACGTCTCAAGCATGAATCCAACTCTTTCGCCAACGAGTTATGAATTACCGGTGACAAACGGTATCTCTTTAGGATACTTTGCAGACTCAGTACCCGCCAACAAGAGCCTTCTCCGGCCTCCTCCCTGGACATTAACGACAACGCCTGTGCGGTCACCCCGTCATCTGTAGTCATCCCGTCCTCTTTCCCGGACGTCTCTGTAACCAACGTGTTCAAGGGGAGCTGTGACAAGGTAACGTCCACCGGCAGCACACACGTGTCTGCAGACATTTCGCGAGCCAGATTGAACACCCGCTCACCGGCCGTCCTCGTTAACTCCCCCCAATCCTCCAGGAGCTCGGACTCCCACAAGTCTTCACCTACTTCCGCCTCCGCCTCCAGATTCAGATTCAGAACCGGGCTGGGCCGACAGCGGTCGCACAACGGCGCCTCGCTCGGCACCGGGCTCGAGCTCCGGGCTTCACCTGCGGCTATTACCCTCGGGCCCAGGGTCTCGGGACCAGTAAAAGTCTCGGGCCAAATTGGGGTGTCGGTCCCAGCAGAGCTTCCACTAGGGCTGATGGTCCCCGGCCAAGTAGGGCTCGGGGTTCCGGTAGGGCTCATGATTCCGGTAGGGCTCACCGTTCCGGCAAGGGTCAAGGTTCCGGGCCGAGCAGGGGTCATTTCCTGAGTAGGGGTAGGGGCCATTTCCTGAGCAAGGCTAGGGGTCATTTCCTGAGTAGGGGAAGCGGTCATTTCCTGAGTAGGGGAAGCGGTCATTTCCTGAGTAGGGGTAGGGGCCATTTCCTGAGTGGGGGAAAGGGTCCCGGAAGGTATCCTTAGCCTGTTGGATGGTATCCTTAGCCTGTTGGATGAAAGGATTCCGTAGGAGGTCATTTTGTTGATGAAGGCCATGCTGACGGAAGCCATGCTGCCGAAGGGTCTACTGCCGAAGGGCATGCTACCGAGGAGGGACATGACACTGCCGGCTAGACTGGAGCCTGATGACGAGGTAGTCGGGGCAGATTTAACAGCAAGAGCACCAGCAGCATCTCTGGTCAAGACGGGACGACACTCGGTGGCCCAGAACTGCTGTTTAAAAGCACCTTCAGGGTCCTCCACACAGTAAGCAGCCAATAATCGGGAACGTAACGCAGTCAATGAATCAGCAGACGACTCCAACAACTCTGACATACCCTCCACACAACACTTACGAGCCAATTGTAAGAACACCAATCGCAGCAATTCCGCACGTCCACGTTCCGATATCGGGCGCCCTTGTCGCCGTAGATCTATCGCTCTGGCCCATCGGTTCCATCGAGCCACAATCGCCTTCCGCTGCATGCTGTGTCTTAGACTGCGCATCCTGTCTGGCGGTGGCAACGAGCCAGTGCTGCCTCTTCCGATTAAGTCTGTTGCGGTCGCGTCTGAGTCGACTTCTATGGGGTCTGTTTGGATCAGGTGGCCTTGGGGGACCGGTTCGCCTTGGGGGACCGGTTCGCCTTGGGGGACCGGTTCGCCTTGGGGGACCGGGTCACCTCTTACGTTCAGGTCAGTTTCGACATCTGTGCTGATGGAACCTGTGCTGACGGAATCTACACTTGCAGCGTCATCATTCCCGTGGAGGTAGGTCTCGACATCGCATTCACGTTCAACAGATTGGCCGGTAACGGGGTCCACGGTGACAGTGAGTGTCGGCCGATAGTTTCTATAATTGGGGTCCAAGCGAATACGGGGTCCTGCATCAGTTTTTCGGTACTGGATTTGGTCGCTCGAGCAGAGCACAACCCCCGGGTGTCGTTGCAGGCAATCCACGCATTGCAATGCCACGGCTAGAAACAGTCGCTGTGACAAACTACCTTCTGGCAACAGCTCAAGTCGCGCACAACCATGCGCACACTCCGGCAAACCTGCTTCTCCGAAATCTGTGCCGCCGAAGAAATGGACCGTTGTCCTCTTTTCGCAACCCGGTGTGCTCTGACAGTCCAGCACCCATCCACACATCCATGCCCACCCCGCGCCACTCACCACCAACTCCGCCCTGCAACCTTTCATAATTTATTCCTACTCCTCGGGTCGGTTTCCACCGCTCTGAGTCGCCACTCAGGGTGGGGCTGAGAACCTGGGTCCGCCTGCGTCGGCAAAAAGTCTAGCTAAAGTTGAGGCTACCGACAAAGACTATGCGACGTTCGCGCACGAAGGTGCGTGGTCGCGTCATGCCCTCTCCGGTGTAGCCGGTGATGCTGAAGGAAGTGTAGCCTTCTCCACCTGCGGCCAGGCCAGTTAAGTGGTTGCCGTTGACGCAAAAGATCGAAGTGTTCACGGTGCGTCCCATGCGCGTGATGCGCTGAACATCAGTACTGTAGATGCTAGCGGTGTGCCGGTAACCGTGTTCGGCCTTGACTGCGCACGCCACGGCTTCCTCGAAGCTGGGCACGGACACCACCGGTAGAATAGGCATCAGCAGTTCAGTGTACACGAAGGGGTGCCCGTCCTCGACGGGGGCGATGATTAACCGGGTTCTATCCTCTGCGTCCTTGGCCTCTGCGTCCTTGGCCTCTTCCTTGCCGAGGACAGTAGAGAGGATGTACTTTGCGCTCTGGCCGACGAACGGCACGTTCACTTGCCCGTGGGTGAAGGTCCCGGGGTGCTCCTTTAGCACCGCTTTTTCTAGAGTCTTTATTTCCTCACTGGTAGCGATGTACGCGCCGGCCTTGCGGAACTGCTCGAGCAGTTGGTCGTAGACCTGATTGACGACGAAGACTTCTTTTTCGTCAGAGCAGATCATGTTGTTGTCGAACGAGGCCCCTTCAACTATGGCCTTAGCGGCCTCTTTTAAGTCGGCGGTTTCATCCACGACCACGGGCGGGTTCCCAGGACCGGCGCAGAAACACTTCTTTCCCGACTTGAGGGCCGCCTTGACAACTGCGGGACCGCCAGTGACGAGATTAGCGGCGGTCTTGGGGTGGTTGAGTAGTAGCTGACCTGTCTCGATGGTGGGTTCAGCGATAGCACAAACTAAACTGTCAGGACCCCCATTTTTCTTCACAATCTCGTTCACAACCGCGACTACACGGTTTGTGCAACATACCGCCGCCGGGTGTGCATTAAAGACAATTCCATTACCACTACTGACCATACAAATCGTGTTGTGAATAATCGTCGCCGTGGGATTTGTCACTGGTGTTACCGCCCCTATTACTCCGTACGGCGCATACTCAATCAACGTCAAACCCTCGTCACCAGTCATAGACTTGCAACCCAGGTCCTCAGGGCCCGGGGTCTTCTCCGCAGACAACCTCTGCTTCACCACCTTGTCCATATAATCACCACGACCCGTCTCGCTGTAAGCCCACAACGCAAAATCCTCAGCCAACTCCCCACAAACTTCCCGGATCTCATTCACTATCGACCGCCGCACGCTCCACGGCTGAATCGCAAATGCCGTCTGTGCTGCCACACACGCCTCCACAGCCGCCTCCACCTCGCTATACAAACAACTCGACGACACACCAATCTCTTCCTTCGCCAACGTCTCCGGGTAACGCTTCAACCCCTTCTTCAACAAATCCGACGGAGCTGCCGCTGACAAAGCCATCTTCCAAAAACGCCTTTTTTACCAACACACTCTAACCCGAGACGGGCCAACCCAGAGACTGACAGACCCACAGACTGAATCGCACACAATCTTGTCACTAGACAGTTACCAACATTAAACAGAATTCTAGCTGCAACTGGTCGGAACCACGACCCACTTTTGTTCCGGTCTTCTAGGACCCAACGTCTGTCTATCTGTACGCGGCGTTCGGACCTAGGCTCACTAAACTGGCGGCAATTTCACCTGGGAGAACCATAACCGCCAAGCCTGTCGCCGCGTGCTATAGCCAGTGGCCTTACCGCGCTCGGCCGGATGAGGCCCGACTGGATGGGGCTCGGCTGGGTGGGACCTGGCTGGGTGAGATCTGGCTGGGTGAGGGGGTGAAGCCGCCTCCGAACTTGCGAATGCCTTGGAGCACCTTTCTCTTTTCGAGGTAGTCTTCGACAGCGCCGGTTTGCCACTGGTCGTCGAAGAAACGGACGGCGCGGCCTTGTTTGAAGAGGCCCATGCGCCAGCGGTGTTCGTCTGCCCAGAAGACGCCTTCGCCGTCCAGCTGGCCGTCTGCCCACTGGCCCTGGTACTTACGCCCGTCAGGCCAGAGAAGGGTGCCACGGCCCTGCATTTTGCCGTCGACGTAATCGCCTTCGTAGAATTTGCCATCAGGCCAGCGGAAGGAGCCCTGGCCGTTCTGCAGGTTGCGGTCCCACTGCCCCTGATATCGGCGGCCATCGCTCCATTCGTAGGTGCCAAAGCCTCGTAACTCGTTGTTCACGAAGTGCCCCTCGTAGCGGTCGCCATTCGGACTCTGCAACACACCCTCGCCCTGCTTCGCATTCGCCACGTACTCACCCACGTAAACCACACCGTCCCGTCCCACCTCGCGCCCACGGCCATGGCGCTTGTCTTCGGCAAACGACCCGCAGTAACGAGACCCGTCCGGGAAAAGATAAGTGCCGTAGCCGCTCGCCTTACCGCCGCGCAGCCGACCCCGGAACTCACCCCCGTCCGTCGCCCTAAACACCCCCACGCCGTCCGCCACGCCGTCCGCGAACTCTCCCACGTACTCACTCCCATCCGCGAAGCATAATTGACCCACGCCCTCCTGGATCCGCTGGTCAGCCGCCCATCCCCCACGGTACCGACTCCCATCCGACAACGTCACCCACTCCAAAGACTCCGACACCCGCAACTTGGCCTCCTGTCCCGCCAGCGGGTCCTCCGGGAATTCCGCCGCTGTCTCCGCTAACAACGCCGCTGCAGGCGATCCAGTCACCGGCTCAGTCGGCGACCCAGCCGCAGGCGGCGAGTAGGTCACGCTCGGCGGCTGATCACTTGGAGCCGGGGAGGAAGCCACAGTTGGCGGCTGCTCAGCCGCAGGTGGCTCGGGCGGATGTTCGGCCGCCTGCATCGTGGGACTCGTGGAGGGCGGCTCCTTGATCTCCACGCTGCTCGAAACGGTCTCGTTCATGGTGATCGAAATGCGAGGCTGCGGCGACGCATCCGATACTTGCGCAGCCAGCTGGTCACTCTTCACGGCGCTCAGCACCGCCGGGCGCGTGGCTTCAGACATCCGATGAGAGGCACACCCACACTTGTTACCCATTCTTGCTTCTGGTGCATTGGCAGCTGCGGTGGTGCTGCTTTTCAAAAATTGCCGGCACCCGCGCCTGAAAAAGGCGCCGCTCACTAACAAGCCCCACCGAGAGCATGGCATCGACCAAATCGGCGTCATGAGTCCCTCGCTCGGGTGAGTCGGTAATAGTTCCCAGCCAGTGGGCGTTAGTTCCCACACTCGGTCATTGTCGGCCTCAGTTATTGTCGGATTGCAGTCAGTCAAGTCAGCTTAGGAGTGCCGCTGACTCATGACGTGCAACACCTGAAAGGCGGCCCAAAACGCTTCTCGTTCCTCTTCAGAACCGAAGGCCAAGCACAGTTCGAGCTTCAGCAACGGGTCAGGGTCGCCCACTTCTTGGATCGGAGGCTCCTTCAGCGGGATACGCAGGCCGTACGGCGCGAAACTGGCGGACAGCTTCTCCGGCGTCCGTTGGCAAATGTCGAAGGGAACCACGTAACTCTTCTCCTCTGCGTGTTCGGTCAGCAAAATTCTGAACGCGCGAAGCGACTTATCTATCAGAAACATGGCGTTCGAACACGTCGCCGCTGGGTCATGCGCCGGCTGCCCATTCGAGGGCTCTGCCCTGCTTACGAACGTCGTTGGGATGCCCTGAACGCTTGCGGTTTTTATAAAGCGCTTTATGTCGCGAACCAGATAGTCCTTGCTCTCCCAGCGCCCCTCCTCTTCCTCCACGTGCTCCTCCTCGACCCTTCCTGTTGGGATATCACAGCAGCAACACAGCCACGCCGGCCACCAATAAGACATGTTGCACCAGCACCCATAAATGCGGCGCAAACACGCGTGTGCACGCAAATTGCGCTCACAAATTTGTTCCCTCGTACCAGATCCGAATGCATTCTGGCAGGTTTGAGTTCCATTTGATGGTGCCTTCTGCGGAAGTGGTCAGCATGGGCCCGTGAGTGGTTGAACATTCGCAGCCGGTGTATCCGAAGACCTTGGAATATTCCTTGGCAAAACTGAGCGTGTGCGAATGACAGGAGACTGCCGCGGGTTGGGCAATGGCGAAGACGCAGTTCTTCCTCCAAATGCTAGTCATGGAGACCCGGGCATCGAGGAGAAGCAGTTTTTCGACTGGCGCATTTAGCAAGCTCCATCCGTCGCCGAAGGTGATCAGGTTCCGGATGCCGCGTCCGCTGACGTTTCCGGAGCGCGCTAGATATTCCTTCAGTGTCGGACCGTTGCCGTGGACAATATAAACTTGTTTACCCTCGGGGTAATGCGCGGCCAGGGCGCGCGCAATGTGGTGCGCGGTGGCAGTCAAGTACGGTAGAGACATGTCCGAGTCGCCCACGACAACGAGCTCGTCAACCCAGCCAGGCTTCGCGCGCTGTTTCGAGGCCCACGAGACACTCGGCATCGACCAGGCTTCCTTCTGCGTAAGTCGCAGGCCGCAGCGGCTGCTGTACAGCCCGGAGCCTTGCAACGTCAGCAAACTCACCCAAGCTTGCGTACCCAGGTCCTCAACCAGGTACCGCACTCCTCGGAACTCAACCTGCTTCACAGCCACGCATTCGGAGCCCGAGATGGGCCGGCGTAACACCTCGCACCACACACGTACTGCGGCATCGGGTTGCCCACAAGACTCTGCGTGGATAAGCAGCTGGTCGGCCATCCGACCCCGTGGAGACTGACCTCCCTGGTTCGTACGGGAACTGGTGGGGAAACTATGGTAGTAGGCCAAGTCAACCGAGCCGTCCTGAGCCCAGCGCTGAAGCATTAAACTCAGCATCAACATCGGGCGCTGTCGGGCACAGTGCAGACGCATACAGGCCGCCGCCAAGTTGACTATCGTCTGGCTCAAAGGGGCATGCCACGAGCGAATAGTCACAGTTACGTCAGGTGTGGCCAAATTCCAGTTGCCGGAATCTACCACTCCTCGGGGAGTCGCCAGCCCCCCATGGGACGTCACCCCCCCTTGGGGAGACACCGACGCTCGGGGAGTCAGGGCCTCCAGTTTGTTCAGCAAGGGGGTCCGAATGTCTGTAGTGACGTGGTCCCTCGCCAGGAGCTTGAGGCCGGTCTGTGGCGAGGTCGTGCAGGCCTCGGGCGTATTGGCCTCCGTAGAGAGCGCAGTACACTCTCCTCCGTCTTGAGTCTTACCCCCTTGGCTTTTACCCGCGTGTCTTTTACGTCCTCGGCCTTTACGCCCTCGGCTCTCACTCCGATCTCTCCCCCCTTCGCTTCTACCCCCTTGACTTCTACCCCCTTCGCTTCTACCCCCTTGACTTCTACCCCCTTCGCTTCTACCCCGTTGGCCGTTACGCCCGGGACTCATATCGCATTCAGCCGCGTCCTGTGTTGTACTGACTTGTTCGGGCGCAGTGGGTGGCGTCCTGGGTCTGGATTTTGTACCGAGGTGTTTGGTAGTGACCTCGATCGTTCCGAGGTAGTTGGTAAGTGAGCTCCACATGGGGGGGTCGGCGAGTTTGCGGGTCAGGTCGCCACGGCCGCTGATGGCGAAGGTACCGCTGGCGATGGCCTCTGAGACGACGGTGTAGAGCGCGATGAGTTGCAGCAGGAAGATCGAAAGCTCGAGACAAGAAAAGTACTGTTTCAGCCAGATGAGTAGGACGACCAGACGTTGGACGTATGGCAGACAGGCCACCAGCCAGATGGCCAGGTACTTAGCCAGCGCATACACGAAGGTGGTCCTCTGCCAATACGAACTAAGTCGCGAACTGATGGTCGAATTGCGCACCGCCGATGCCCAGCCTTCGGTCCTGCTGTCGGCCCCCCCGTCGACCCCGGCTGTGCTTTCCGCAGAGGAGGAGGGGACTGCCCCGCCGAAAAGTCCATCTAGAAAGCCGGACGGGAAGGCGTAGAGCAGTCGTGGGTACGCGCTCTGAGGTAGGTCGGCCTCCTCTAGGTCTTCCATGTCCGCGGTCTGTGTGACGAACAGGCCCCGAGGGTGGCCTCTCCAGAAAGCCTTATCGAGTCCGACGAGGTTGAGCGCGGCGTCATTCAAGTTGTGCACGAGGGCGGCGAGGCTGTCGGGCCGCAGCAAGTGCCGGACTTCTTCGGGCGAGCCATTCTTGAGTCCGTTCTGGAGCAGTAGAGAGTCCACACTCTGCCCGTTGGCGGGTATCACGTCTGGCGCTAAACTGGGCGCCAGACTGGAGTCGTCATGGCCTCTGAAGGTGTCGACTGCGCGATGTCCCCAGTGGCGGGCAGAATGGGCAACTGAGTCGTAGGCAGCACCAAGGGACTTGGAGATAGTCGTTTCAGAAACGTCTTCATAGGCGGATCCGCCGTTCTTGAGTACCCACATGATGCCGACGAGAACAACGTCGAGAAGCGCGGCACATAAGACGTACAGCAACCAATGTCGAATCAGACGACGCAAAGGTCGGCGTGCAGGCGGAGTAGTCAGCAACTCCACCACGTGCCAACCAGCCGCGAAGACCGCCAGGTCCAGTAACAACCTCGGGTCCAACAGCACCGGCGCCAATGCAGCCGGCGACCGGGGCAACACAAAGTGTACACTTGCACCATAAGCGCACACGAAGGTACACATAACCAAGGCCACGTGCCCCCAATGCCAAAGCCATAACGGTCGGAATACCACACCCCGCTCCGGCTTCGGCAATCCCGCTACCTCGTACCCCTGTTCCAATACTTGCCGTAACACAGGCACCGCGACCTGCTCCTGCCGCGCGACTTCCCACCAAGCCGCTGAACGCGTCATTTTTTTCGATCGACCGACCGGCCGGCCCACGACTTCGGTCAGGGGTCGGGCTCTGGTCCAGCTCTGTCGGGGTCTGGATCTCGTGGCGGCGAGAAGGGTTCTGGAGCGAGACGGAGGGCGTTGAGTGTTTCTTCGGGGACGGGTTGGAAGAACTCGGGAGCGCGGTCCCAGGAGAGTGTCGTGACTCGCGCCTCCGGGTCGTGCAGCTCGTCGTGCAGCGTGGTGCGGAGTACCCTGGGCAGCGACGAGGGGCTGCTAGCTGTGGCGGAGTCCGCCGGGGGGCTGCGGGTGAGCCTGCGAGTGCCGAGGATGACGCTGTAGCCGTTGTCCAGGCTTTGGCTGTCGGGCGTGGAAAGCGAGACGTGGTCAATCGCCGGCGGTGCGGGCTGGAAATCCTGGCGGCACAGCGGACACTTGCGCTCGTTGCCGTTTTTGCCCTTGGCCGTCCACTGCTGGAAGCAGTGGAGGTGGAAAGCGTGTCCACAGAGCTCGCCCACCGCCGGCGGACAGTCCTCGCCTGGTGTGTGGCAAGTGGGGCAAGGGTACTCCTGTAGTTCCGTGCAGATGTGGCACGTGGGGTCTGCCGTTTCCCACCGCCAAAAGGCGATTGCACTAATTGCCTCGACTGAGACGTGTAAAATGCGTGACTCGAGCATGGCAGTAGATGTGTGACAATGGAAACAGACAAAGCCAAGCGGAGAAGCGATGGCCAAGCGGAGCAGATATGTCGTTGGAGGACAAAGTGAAGGTAGAAGTGGGGAGGTGCAAGTACACACGCGTGTGCACACAGCTGATCGATGCCCGCAGATGTCGCTTCCGCCGATGTTGATGCTGGGTCTATTCCGGAGAGCGAGTCTGCAGTCGCGGTTGCGCCAGCGTTGGTGTCAAGTGCGGACGTGGTGGTTCGAATGGAGTCAGATGTGGGAGTTGCTGCCCGACCAGCTCAGCGCCGTAGCATAGTGCAATCGATGGCGTACGTTCGTGAGCCGCGTTCGCCGAGTCCTACAGCGCGGAGACGACATCGTGGCCCGGTTACTCACCCGCCATTGACGGCATTCGAAGGGGAGCCAGCGGAGGCACACCGCAGTCATCGCGGCAGCGCATTGAACGTACTAATAGATGCCAGTGCATCGGTTGCAGCAGACGATCTATGTCTATTTCTGCGTAAGGCTAGACGCAAATTACGCGATGGAATATTTGTCACGGAGCTAAGATTAAGTCGAGTCAAAAGTCTTGGTACTGTACTCAAACAAAAGGACCCCGAGCTACGTTGTACAAAACATATGCGTCAGCTATATATTGGATTCCAACCAGAGTATCTAGAACTGACAACACAATATAGCATCGAAACAACTCTTCATCTTTCCGCCATTGATCAAATCAAATGCTCAGCCAAAGCAGAACCATTCCGAAGACACAAACAAGATAATGTTCTCAACGACAAATGTTGCCTACTCATCACCAGCTCAGCCGGCGACCAAATCTGTCTACTCTTCACAAATGAAGAAGATCGTAGACTTACACAATTCCACTTACGTGTTGAAAGGGCTGCCGTCGTACAACGCTACCAAGGAATCGAATCCGATTACCTCCAGCTACTCAAAGACAACCATATCAACGACGTCGGTCTTGCACGCTCCGTTCTAACACCGTCTTTGCCTCAAACACCCAACGCAAAGGCCAAAGCTAAAGCAAAAGCACAAACCTCACGGACTTAAGGGAATATCACGGAGGGGGGTTGTGGCCGGAGTGGACATGGCCCGAGGGGACATGGACCTAAGGGGTATGGCCGGAGGGGTATGGCCGGAGGGGACATGGACCTAAGGGGTATGGCCGGAGGGGACATGGACCTAAGGGGTATGGACGTCTCGGTCAAGACGGGCGTCACCATTTTTAATAGCAAGGCGAACCTCGCAGCTATTTTTCAAAGCAACAAACAAGAGCGTCAGTCATGTCCTGGGGGGGG